CTCTGGGGACAGGGGGACGGGGCCCCGGCACTCACCAGGCGACGGGCACGGCGGCCTCCTGCTCGGCGCCCATGGGGATGCGGCTCTGCAGGTAGTGGAGCTGCCCGAAGTATTTCCTGAGGGTGCTGCAGCCCTCGAAGTCCCGCGGCACCGTCACGGCGCTCTGCGGAGCGACACCGCCATCATGTTTATCATCGTATTTATTACGTTGTTACACACCGTTTTGGTACATTGCTAAGGTTACACCATCGCGGCACAACCTCCCCGGCCACCCGCAGCTCCAAACGGCTCCGCAGGACAGAGGGAGGCCCCAGCCTTAAGGAAAATATCCGCCTAACGCACCTGGAAAGACAGGGATTTCCCTAAAAAATGAGAGAGGAGGGAGCAACGCGCTGCATCCAGAGTGCCCAAAACCCAGCGGGAAGGATTTGGGAGTGACTGAAATGGGAGATCCCCTGCACATCACGAGGGCAGTGACTGATAAAACCCAGCTCGGCAGCTCCCGCACGGATGAGCGCGGCGGCTGGTGCTAATCCGAGGATCCAAGAGCGGATAACCAGGAAGATCCCGGGCTGGTTGGGGATTTGGGAGGGATCCCGCGGCGGCGCTCACCTGCCGGAGCCCCTCCAGCTTCCGCAGCTCCTCGTTGTAGTTCTCCGGGTTCTCCCCATAGTTCTTCAGCACGAACTGGAGGAGAAGAGAGCAGTGGCAGCCGGATCCCATCCGGTGACATTCCCAGAGCCAGCAGTGACACCGAATATTCCCAGCCCTAAACTGAAGCCCTCCGGGTGGTTTTCCAGGGAGGTGCAAGGGAAATCCCTATGGCCGGACCGGGGGGACGGAGCGAGACCGCGGGATTCGCATCCCTGCGGCAGCGACGGGAGGAAAAGATGCTCCAAGGGAAGAGCACCGGCCTCTCCCAGCCCCTGCTCGAAGGCTCTTGCAAAAACTAAGACAAAAATCCCGGGAAAGAGGCATGGATCCGTCCCGGACCAGCGCCAGGAAGAGCTCCAGGGCTTCAGTAAAAACCTTCCGTGACCATTAAGGTCCTGGAAAGCCCTGGCCAACGGGATAGGCCTTGTTTGAGGCTGGACCAAGACAAGTCCTCCCGGATTCCCACCTGGATTCAAGGAAAGCGCCTTCAGCCGGGGCCAAGCACCGCGCCGGCCAGAGACAGGGCTTATGGCACCGGAGCAAAGGACAAGGAAAGCGGCAGCAGGCGGGAAAACTACGGAGCCAGAGCCGGGAAAAACACCCAGAAAGGGCAAACGTGCTCCCGGAATCCCGAGCAATGACTCAGCTCCCGCGGACGCTCCGTGCCGGAGCCGGGACTGGCGCTCCGGTTCCACGGGATGCCTGGCTGCCCCGTGGTGCCACTTCCCGGGATAAACCCACCCACTTCCCACGAAGCTGGTTGCAAAATCGCAGCTTTGGGCTGTGAGTGGCACCCCAAAACGCTCTTTTTTGTGTTTATAGATGGGTAATTAAGAGCTTGATCACTCTCTAGTTTGTAAAAAACTGGAAAGCAGAAGGGGAGCAGCCCCAGCCGGGTGTTTTCAGCAGCAAGAGAAGAGGTACCAGGAGCGGCAGGACCGCGTCCCTTCCCTTCCGTCGCCTTCCTGCTTCTGCAAAAACGTTCAGGAACCGAAAGAGATGGGAAGGAGGCCCCGGGGCAGGGAAGGAGGCCCCGGGACAGGGAAGGAGGCGGTTCTGGAGCCGCGATGTTTGTGGACAAGGAGGAAACGGGGCCTGGCGGCTCCAGGCTCCCTTTCCCTGGGGCTGCCCTCCGTCCCCCTGTGCAGCCCCCAGCAGTCCCAG